ATAATTGTGGAGACGCGCTAACCGTAAGGATACATTCAGACTGCCCTTCCTCCATTACTCAGACGGGTCGTAGGGTCTGTAACATTGTGACACTCGCTATTGATACCGACCAGCGAAAATCTTATAAAGTCCGCGGTCGATAATGCTAATGAATACTGATGAATCTGCTGTTGTTAGAAAATGCCTCTTTGGAACAGCAGCATGATGCTGCTCTGTCGACTCCGAGGAAGTTCTTGATAAGTGGTCTGATATTACAATAAGGCAATGGCCACAAAAGGCTAGCCATAACGCAATGATTGTTTTATAGGAGCTCTGGGCAGCCGCTGACTTCATTCAGAGTTCATCATGCCATCACCACATCACATTATGCATCCGTCTAGAAAAGCGGAGACGAAAACCGACTGCGATGGAATCTCCGAACAAACGTGGATACAAGGAAGCTCAGTGATATCTTGTGACAGAAGGTGAAAGCTTGACGGATAAGGGGGATGAGGACACAACTGGGACATTGCGTGAGGATATAGGGAACAGAAGGGGTAAGACCGAGCGGAATCTTGCGCTTTAGCGTAGTCTAATTGGACCGAGATGGCGACTGTATCCAATCCTATCTAATCTAGTGCTGAAAACAGGCCTCGTGAAATCGACGAAGCTCCGCCGACACTCTTAGAAACTCTCGTGCGCTATTGCGACCGAGGCTCTGGTGGGTTTATATGGACGGTTCATCGTCGATGAAGCAATTGGCTAGGCCCTACACGCACGCGAATTTTACTATCATATCCCAACAAACGCCGAACAAAACTGGCATAGATAAGTTCTGATCATTTGTCTTATTTCACGTAAATGGAAGACAAAGGAAACGAACCTGTGATACCTCGTTATCAGGCCATGCCCTATGTTTGAGTACAGCCAGTAATATAGTCGGCCAGCATACACCGTGAGGGAAACGCAAAGACAACGGACTTCCACGTCTCGGTGCCCGATAGGAATGAAAGGTCTTCCTTTCCTTTCCGTCGTTCGTAAATCCATGTTGTCTAACGCAGTACAGATTGTAAGCAACTGAACCACCGTTTCGGACAGTTGTGAGCTGAGTAAGTTCATCACATGATCTGTCTTCGATTCGAAAGTAGGGCTATGCAAAAGAGTTCGAAGAGGCGGCTGCAGACAAAAGAGAGAACGTTCCTGGGGAGGGCTTCGAAACGTGATCGAAACTGCTGCGGAAGCTAGTCCTGCGATATTATTGGTGGACAGGGAGGCCTATGAGTCCACGAGGCATATTATATAGCCCCGCGAAGGGAACTTGAATACACCTACGGGTCGATGTCCGTTCAGCCCTTGTATCGTTATGAATGCCATGTTGATCGGGTGTCGAAAACGCGTCCAATCAATGTCCCAGAGAAACGTAGAGTCGTCCTGGATCAGATAGTCCTGCACTGCGATCAGTGTTGACGCCTATGGTGCATGTGCAATGGTCGAGTCAGCACGCAATCGCCCAGTATAGTGATAGTATCAAAGCTAGCATCGCTTTACAAACTTAATACGTACTACGATATCTTGTTCGAGAAGACGATGTGCAGAAAACACAGATATGGCTCAGGTAGCCTAGAAAAATACAGGTAAAAAATCTCTAAAATGGAGCGCATTGATCCAGGCATTCGGTGATCAGGATACGACCTGAGACCTGTGACGTCTGGTCGTTGGGTTTGATAGTTCCGCCCGCAAAGCCTTACTCGAAAGAATAAGTTTGATATGAACCAGTTACAGTAGTTTTTTGTGGATATGTTGAGACGTAGAGGTGCTTTTGATTACCGATAAAAACATAAAATCAGGTTTAAGGTGCAACTAGCGTTTGAGAATGGGAGCATAGGGCGTTGGCCACAGAGTGAGTGAATGAATTGAGACTCCGGTACTAGTGGTAACCTAACCATAACAACCTTCTGTGCTACTGAAGATTATCGCGATTCGGTGCGGTGACTAGACTGCCTCAGACCCTAAATTCCATGCAGTAGTCATCTTCACAGCTAAATAATACGAACGATAAGTTATCCGAGGAGGCTTGTCAATGGGCACCACGATGGTGTAGGATCATTTCCAACTTAATTCGTCATCTTTACCATCTACGGAATTCCGCCGCACACATAACGCTACCTCATGGACGATGAGGGAATTTTCCTGCTGGTGACAACCACGGCCGTTTTCAAATATGATGTCTAAAGGACCCTGAGAATCAGACATCACTGCAGAAGCTATATCTGGGCATGCGATGAACAACAAGAACTGGGTGACTTCGAACCTTCTTCCACTCATATACCATCTCCTTGCTCCACGACGATTAGCAACTGTCCTATCTTTCCTAAAATAACCTACAGTACAACTAATCAATGCTGTCTTAAATGCACGTCCTACCTCTGAGTCCGAACACGTGTATTGTCAGAGGTTCATCTTCTCCTCAGACGCCGTAACCTGGGAATACCTCTTGAAAGCAAATTCTTAACACTTCAGGGGGCATAAAAAATTCCTGAAGCCAGGTGCGAAATTGCCTTGAAAATCATACTGAACCTTTCCTAATACCTGATATGCTGCTTATTTTCAGTGAAGAGTTTGTAAGGGCACTGGATTTGATCCTAAAACTGACGGAAACCCCTTTATTGGCGTGCGAGCGATAGAAGTCTGGA